AGTTCAGACCAGACCAGACTTGGATAGTTATAAAAAACAAAGAAACCAGACCTTACCAGACCAGACCAGACCAGTTCAGACCAGACCAGACCAGATCAGACCAGCAAATTACAGTCCAAGTAAAAACATCCTTAGAATTGCTTTGAAAATTTGGTGTAGGGCTTCAGGTTGAGTGTTCGAAGCTCCCGTGGTGCATATAACGTTTTTATTTTAAAATCCAGCATTCAAAATTGTTTTACCATTGTGCCACTGCCTGCGCTGAAGCTAAGGATCCAAACTGAAGCCCAAATTACAAATAGGTACTAGTATGTATCTAAATGTACATTTTTTAAAATAGACTACACAAATACCTAAAATAAAGAATAAACAAACGTAAATTAAAGTTATTAAACTATGGTCGTCCTCCTCTTCAAGTACTTTTTCTTCCAATTTGCTCTTTAATCTCAAGTAATAAATTTTTATTAGTATATTATTTACCATGAAAATGTTCATTTAATTTTATTATAATTTTGTTTAATGTATAATTTTCTTTTTATTATATTCTTATTAAAATGTAGTGGGCAAACTGTCAATTTGGTTATCATACTTTCATGAAAAAATCAATTAGGTTTTCATACTTTTAAAAAATCAATCAAATCTCTGAACTGTGTAAAAACATTTAATATGGCCATGTTTATTTTTTTTCGGATTCAAACGTAACCGCTGCAAAATGCAGCGTTTTCCTTTAGGAAAAATAGCGGATTGAAGCAAAGCCGCCGTTACCTAAACGCAATCAATGTGTGCATACACTGACCTTCGATGCCTAGGTCCGCCCCTGTTCAGAGTTACTTTTCTGACTGTATTCACTGAATTATTATAGAGTATCATTTTATCTATTTTCATGTAACTTTTTCTTTATTTTATTAATAAAACATATTTTCAATATTTCTTTTTCACAAATAAGCTGAATCAGTAAATTCAACCACTTCAGTCAGAAATTCATAAATTTCAGCAGAATCAGACGACTTAGCCAATTTCTATGCGGGTTCCTCATATAGTTATCAATCTGTAACAATATTTTTAAAAAAAGATTGTCTTAAATGAGACAAAAACACAGTTAAAATCGTTAAATGGGAGTTCATATTTTATATCCCCCAAACATGATTAAACATTACTTTTCCACCATTAAAATACGTAATGAATTCCCCCATCCTACTTCAGTCAGTGGCATGCGGTCGAGCGATCGGTGGGCTGCAGTCCGGTGGCAAAACTTCAACCGTAGCCTTATTTAGAGAATTGAGAGAATTTTAAATATTGACTCTTACTCCGTATTTTTCTACTTCAAATACTCCGTATGTTTTACTCTTACGGTGGAAATTCTCTATTTTTTATACTTTTGTCAACAGTCCCTAAATTGAACGTTGAAAACTGTCGTTACATACTCCGTACAAGACTATCACAATTCAATAATGGTTTATGGAAGAATCTAATTATAAGCGAATCAATGAGGATTATATATACGGAGTATATAGTACTATAAGGATTTCAACATAGCTTGGTAGCAAGAGAGAAAGGGGAGCTGAGGTGGATTACCACCAAATATTTCATCTCTCATCCTCTTGGATGTGTCCTAATTGGATACTGTTTTAAGAAAAACAGTATATTAAAAAGTTTAAGTTCCAAACTAAGAGTTAGTATGAGAAGTATCTGAGAAGATTATATTACATGTCTATATTTTGATATTGAGTTTTTGCCACTTTTAGTCTTCCGACTATTATGTCATTGACACTTTGGTCCTTCGGCTATTATAATAGTGACATTTTTAGTCCTCCACTTATTGTGTCAAAATCATAATGAGAGGTCTAAAAATGTCAATTTGATAATACTCAAGGGACTAAAGTGTCTCTAGCACAATAGTCGAGGACTAAAAATGAAAAAATTAGAATTCGGGTACCAAAAGTGTCACTGACATAATAGTCAAGGGACTAAAGTGACAAAAACTCTTGATATTTATCCACGAGTACGTACGTACATCGCTTCACTTTTTTTTTGCTCGAAGATGGCTTAATTCATAGAAATAGCATTCAGTCGGGGTACCAAAGCAGAAAAGAACCACATGTATCCATCCGCCCGTGGCCGAGACTGAGAGTTAACCACCTGTAGCAAAGAAGTATAACTCGCTAGACCAAAATTGGGCAACTTAAAGCCAATGACAGTTACCGCAAACTTTTCATCCTCCAAACCTAATGTAAGAGTTTTACAAGAATTAAAAACACAAAAGAGAAACAGAACATAGCATCTGAAATAAAAACAAACAAAACAGACAAAAAAGATAACACCATCACTTGTCTTCTGCACCATCACCACCAACCTCGGCAGGTCTAAGACATTTGACTCGCCTCCTCCCCATTTTTTGGCCCATCCAGGGTCATACCTTCACCGGTGGTACCCTCTATGGTCTGATTCTCCCATATCCTTCTGCGTTGTGTGTCTCCAGGAGTCTCATCTTTGTCTTCTGTCTCGTGCTGTGATGGTCTGCTGTCCTTGGATTCAGCCAAAAATTCTCTCCCGATATCAGCCTTCCTCTGAACACCATATCCACCTGAGCTAGAGGCTCCATCAGATAACCACTTATTGGATCTTGCGGGGCTTATCTTCACCCTCCCTAGTCCCTCCTGCTCTAAGTTCCACCCCATAGGTTTTTTCAGCTACAAATTCATCTTCATACTTTAATGGACAGAATTTATCAGAATGTCCAATTATACCACACATAAAACAAAAGCTAGGTAGTTTTTCAGATTTAAAATCCACCCAATGTTTTACCCCATCTCTTGTCAAGGTGGTACCTTTTTTCAGAGGCTGACGAACATCCAGACACACCCTTATTCGCAAATAAGAACTCTGCTTTCCATCAAACTGGCTCATCTCAAATTTATTAAAGGAGCCTAAATAATTACCAATTTTCCTGGCAAATCTCAAATTTCTAAACTTTATTGGGGCATTATGAACTTGTACTCAGAAACTAGCTTCAAATAAATTCACCGATTCAGGTATATCCTCTGGTTGAACTGCTTTCAACAGTATTAAATTAACTCACGTTCAAAAAGCCCAGGGCCATCCTCAATTACACGATTCATATCCAAAACATGATTAAAGTTTAGCAAATACCTTCGTTCGCCGATTTCTTCGAGAAGCCCGGTAGCTTGACCTTGCGGTCGGTAACCACCACCCCAACCACCGGAAAGCTCTTCGGTTCCTTCTCCTCCTCACCGTTCTCTTCCTCTTCTTCATCGAAATTTAGCTCGTTCTTCTGTTCCTCCATTGACATCTTCTTGTACGAGTTGACCATATCATCCATGAATCCAGATAATCGGATCAATTCCTCTGCTCCAACCTGGCGACCTGAATTTACTTTGCCGGCACCTTCTTCTTCGGCGAAGAAGACTACCGATCTTCGTTGAGGCAACGAAACCGGAAACAAACCCCTAGCGGCCGAGCCCTAGAGATCGAGAAGCGTTTTTTCGTAATATTCACGTTGTCTATATGACTATATTCAACTCTGGAAGATTTTTCTTACACTGAGATGTTTCTTGCTTATTTTAGATCAGGTCATATAATCATATTAAGTATTAACATGAAATAATATAATGCGTAATTGGATAATATAACCAAATTAAATAGCTAGACAAAATAGAGAAAATATGGCTTAATCACTTTTAATGCGAATTTACTTAATTATTTACTGTTCAATTTTTGTTTTACTTATTTGCATGTGGTAATAACTAATAAGCACGGACTACAATCAACTCGAATTGGACATATTCACGTCGAATGTAACATTATTGATTCCTTATCGAAAAAGATCGCTCGTAGATTCAAAGGACCGGATGGAATTATTCACAGGAAATATAAAATTAATATCGAACAATATTTGGTGTTTCTAATTGATTCGTATTGAACAGTTGAATACAAGCGACTTATTCTGATTAAATGATTAGTTTACAACAGAAAACGTAGTACACCAAATTAGGATGTTTTTACAATTTTACTTGGACTGTAATTTGCTAGTATGGTCTGATTTGATCTGGTCTGGTCTGAATTGGTTTGGTCTGGCTTGGTAATGTCTGGTTTCTTTGTACGTATTTTTATAACTATCCAAGTCTGGTCTGTTCTGATCTGGTCTGGAACAAATTACAATCCAAGTAAAAACATCGTTAACCATCATTAAATATTACTCCGTACATATCTATGAATAAACTCAAATTACAATATATTTTTCACAAAATAGGTTATCTTAATTAGAAGCATAGCATTCCTCGAATTCAAAAAATAGGATTATGAATATTCTTATTAATTACATACGTAGTAATTAAATAGGATAATGTATTTGATATAGATCAGAGCTCGTCAACATACTCACAAAAAAGCATGTTCATGTAATGAATAGTTAGTAGGTGACAACTCCGGTACCCATTTAAAAAATGGGGGTACCGTACCTACCATGAATTTGATTGGTCCAAATCATTATATGCTTTTTAATTTAGATTTAAATAATTCAACTGCATTATTCTTATTGGTCCATGTGGACAAAGGTACGGTACATTTAGGGTACCATAGAATCTACCTAGTTAGTATTCTTAAAAGAGATGTGTGTATTTTGAAGTTTCACACCAGACCACCACTAAGTTATTAACATTAATAAAGTGTTATACGAATATCATGCACCATTCTTTTTATCATGTTGACTTTTTAAAACAAAACATCATGATTTAACATGAAATCAGAGCACATCAACTCATAACAATTGTGTGGTCTCTCAAGAAAAATGATGACACTGTTATTAAAAAACGACAGTGGCCAACCGACCAAAAAAATGAATGATGACATGATCCAGAAGAAATGTCTAGTCGTTGCCTTTAAATAATTCTTACCTTATTTTTTCTTTATCAATTTAATATCAATCATATAAATTCACTTTTCTTAACTATCACATCATCTTTTTATGTTTCAATGTAGTAGGACGGAAGTAATACTTTAAAGATGGAAGTTGGAACAAAGTCTTAATAATACATCAAAAACTCAAAAGGTACAATCCCTAATTCCATCAGGCCATGCTAATCAATCAATGCAGACAAATTAAAGTCCATCATTCATAAACTCTCCACCATATCCGTGGAAAAACGAGATCTCGTTGCCAAAAATCAAAGAATGAAATGTCGCGGCTACTTCACAAACTAATGACCGAAAAGTTGCCGGAACCTGAGCAGGAAGCTAAGGCAGTGACCAAAATTCGTGGAAAAAATCGAGACTTGAATGCCTTACCGTGCAGAGCCACTAATTCCTCGTCTAGATCCACCAACCATCTTACAGAGAATCTGGACCCGGAAAACGGCGAAAGTGAACCGTTATTGGGTGCATGGAGGAAGACGTTGTTAGTTATTAGCCACACGCTCGTGGCTATCAATGATGAAAAGGAAGCAGGCCCATCTATACTCCTGCCATGGCAGAACAAATAAAGAGAGAGCCGACAATTTTTTGAGCGAATTAATTATGGGCTACCAGCTCGAATTATATGTTACTCGTATGGTGTTAGAGCCAGTTTGATAATATTCAAATTGATTGTATTGATGGATTCTGTTGAAATCCATAATGTTCTATTTGAAGTGATTAAATTTGTTGATTTTTTAAAACATATTTTATTTTTTTTTAAAATAAAATAAAGAACAAATTATATGAGAAACAGTTAAAATGATCCGCTATAATAACTTCAACCAATACAGTTATAAATGTAATCTTAAACTTCTTCTTTTTATTATGATTACACAATTTAACGCGCAAAATCAATAGTTGCGTGTTTAGCAGAAAAATTGGTTGATAAGTCTGAAAAACCAAAAAAACAGGTTTACCATACGGGCTCTTAATAAAAGCCCTTTCGTAGCACTGAAATTCGGTTTACCGGCGCATTTTGTAGAAATTTTTTAAGTTCTGACTAAAAAGATTGGATTGAATGACATGTTGAATTATGTAAAATTTTTATTTAAATGTCTATTAAGAAAAAACTATATAAAAAAACAAAAATGATCTTGATAGAATTCTGACCTAGGGGTTGACTAGACAACCGAGCAAGGGAGAGACCGAAAGTGCTAATAAGTGAGATCGAGTAAGAAATTGGGCAGAGTAACAACAAGTTTGCATGGATTTTTTTTATCCCTTTTCACAGGCTGGAAGGTGATATTTATAATATGAAGAAAAATATTTGGCCAACAAGTAAAAAGATGATATTCTATTGTGGTTAAAACACGTGCATTACTTGGCTAAGAAGAAGAAATGTACTAGTCTAATTATGTAGTGGCACATGTAATGTTGATTGGAGAGATATCTTGGACAGCTGACTGATTGGTTCTGTGTATAACAAAATTGTCCATTGTGTACTAGAACGCATGTGCGTGCCACTCGTGTACTATCCGAAATATTCTGTGTAGTAACCGCCTGGGTGACGTGGCCACTGGAGATGCCAGTTAGCGAGATGTCAGTTGACTTCAATCTCGATTATGATGGTGGATTGTGGTGTTGACTTACTGAGGATCGACCTCGGTCTCGGATGCAGTTTTGACCTTATCTCGATAATTTGGTAGTCCAATGTTGTATCAACTTGGCAAGGGCCGAGCTCGGTCTCGACAGAGTAATGACTCATTATTTCTGGAGACTTCTTTGTTCGTGAACGTTGATACCAGTGAAGTATATGAGAACATACTTCATCATGTCTTTTACAGTAGTTTTAGTTAATCCAATTAGGAAAAATAACCCAACTCTTACTTATTTAGACTATTATACAAATTAGAGCGTAAAATCAGACACACAAAAGTTACAATTTTGGTGAAAATGTTGATTTATAAGACTCATAAGTTAAAAAACATGGTCATCAAACGAGTTCTAAATACTCCCTCCGTCCCGTTGGAATGTTCCCACTTTCCTTTTTTGGATGTCCCAGTGGAAAGTTCTCATTTCCCCAAATGGAAAGTTATCCTACATCAAAACAGTGTCAAACAGTGCAAAACAGTGTCAAACAGTGTCCAAACAGTGTCCAAACAGTAAAATTTACCCCCTGGTAAGTTTATTTCCTTAATATGTGTGTAGGTCAAACCGGGAACATTCCAACGGGACGGAGGGAGTAATATTGTAGTAATGCACATTGATAATAGATTAGTTAGAGATAAGTGATGTTTAACCGAGTTCTAAATAATATTGTAGTAATGCACATTGATAATAGATTAGTTAGAGATAAGTGATGTTTAACGTTATAAGGTACCAATAATTCCATCATAACACGTTCCATTGTTTAACATATTCGTCCACATTAGTCGTTGGAACTCGTTGAACTGTTACTTTGGACATCCCAACTCCCAAGGGTTTGGTTCCGTTTATGACGTTGAGTACTACCCTCTAATTTTCAATAATCGACACATATTCTTTTTAGAAATTTTATGCGAAGTATTTCTTTGTCATCTTTTGACATTTGGATCCTTTTAACATATTATTCATACGTAGTATTTTGTTTGTTCACTTTTTTTTGTCCTTTTCATTTTAATTGGATTCTTTTTTACTACGGGAAAATGAAAACTAATAATCCAACCTTTTAGCAGTCTTCTTATAATAGTCTCACTTTTTCGTTATTCAAGAATAATCCAACATTTGCACCTCATTTTCATTCGCTGGTCCCTGACGGGTTAATGACCTGCTATTCCAATTTATTTTCTTATCTTTGCAAAATATTATCTTTGTGAAAGGGGAGATTTATGATATAATGGTTTGCAAAGATAAGAAAATAACTTGGAATAGCAGGTCATCAACCGGTCAGGGACTAGTGAATGAAGATGGGGTGCAAAGGTTGGATTATTCATGAATAACGAAAAGGTGAAACTATTGTAAGAAGACCGCTAAAATGTTGGATTATTAGTTTCCATTTTCCCTTCTACTACGTATTTAATATTCCATATCCTTATCTTTCACATTTTCTCTATCAGCTATCATATTATTATCCCTGTTATTTTTCTTCACCTCCATGATTTTTTAGTGAAAATCCGGAACATAATAATTAACCATGAATACGAACCTGTTGGGTTAATGGCTCGATTGCGGGCCGGCCTATTACCCCTTGGCAAAAGGAGCACCAAAGCCTAGTTCACGTGATCTAGCAAGATGCTTGGAGGATGAGCGTCAGATGTCCCGAGGACGCTCGGCCTCAATTACCTTGTCCAAACAAGAGTCACATGACCCATCTTCTCAATTGAGTTAGATGAACGATCTCGGGGCTTGTAGTTGAAGTGTGTTGTATACGGACCCTTATTATCATTTAATAAGATATGGCCCACTTAGTACTTTTTATTTGACCCATCTTACTTGCTTGCATCTCATATCCATCTTATTCTCCACTTAAAATCCAGAAAAACGTGTTGGGCCTTCGGGTTGAAGGAATAAACCTCAACAGAACCGAATCGTTATAATTAATAGGCCTTTTTCGATGATGTTGGATAATTGATACCCATATTGTATGAAAAGGGGATTGAACAAGAGTGGAGAAGAAATGATGAAGAAGAAGGAAATGTGTATAGAATGAATATTGGTTATATGAGTTACAAGCCTCCTATAAGGAGTATATATAGGGAAAATCTGGGTCTGGGCCTCTAATATGGGCCTGACAGACCCGGTTACATAAATGGACTGATAGTATAAAAAGCTAATCTAGAACATCTGAATAATAATGATAATGTACAATAATATTAATGATATCCGCTAAACGTGTGTGGGCCGCTGTCCAGGCCTAGTAGTCGGCATACCGGGGGGTCGGAGTCCATATAATCCATCAGATGAGTATTACTAAAATAAATTCAAAAGATAAAACTAATGCGTAGTATAAAACTAAGATCGACTTATTTTGAACTTTTCTAAAAAAAATTATACATTCATTGATTACTTCCTACTGACCCATCATTTATCAATGACTATTCACTTGAAATACACTATACTGATTCTTGCTCGATTACTCGTACACAATGAATAACTATTCATATTTTTGTCCGCATAAACTATGTTAATATATAAGATATACTCTAAATAGACGATCTGTAATAGTTTAACTATTGTTAGAGTCCTGGTTATAAGTCAGTTGAGTTTGTTATGACTTAAGCCAACTCTATAAATACCTGTACTGCTGCTTCATATAAAAATAATAGGAATTCACACTTCACCTCTCTATCTCTCTCATACTTTTCTAATATGGCATCAGAGCTGTAGCTCGATCCATTAATGGCAATCTCCGATGACTCTTCTCACTCTTTGAGTGGAAACTCTGGCAATTATAACTCTCTTGTTATTTCGCACATCCTCTTCCAGTTAAACTTGACAAAAACAATTTCCTATTCTGCAAACATCATGTTGAATCTGTTGTTCGTGCGCATAAGCTTCTTCGTTTCATTGTGAAACCGATCATTCTGAAGCAATTCAACACTGATGACAACGAAGCAACTGGTAATGTTAACGAAGCTAATGCTGTTTGGGAGCAACAGGATCAGATGTTGTTCTCTTGGTTATTGGCTTCGCTTTCCGAGTCTCTACACGTTCGTGTGATTCATTGCAGGCATTCGCACCAGCTTTGGAGTGAAATTACTAGTTTCTTCAAGTCGCAGATTCTCGCGAAGTCTAGACAACTCAAATCTGAGTTGTATAATACATCTAAAGGTGATCGCTCGATCTCTGAGTATCTTCTGTGTGTTCAGACAATAGATGATAATCTTATGTCGATCGGAGAGCCTATTTCTGTTAAGGATCATATTAATGTCATACTTGAAGGTTTACCTGAGGAATACGAGTCACTAGCCTCTTCTATTTCATCACGAAGTATCCTTGATCCACCTACTTTGTCTGAAGTTGAAGCTCTTCTAGCTGCCAAGGAGTTGCGTTTGAAGAAGCTCAATGAATCCTCACAATCCACTATATTCTCTGCCAATGTAGCTCGTCTACAACCAGATCCTGTAAACACACCTCATGAACCTGAATCTCCTCCAGATGTAGAAACTCCTTCTGCTCAGGTTGCTCAGTTTCACACTTCAAATAACAACGACTCCTATAGAGGTAGAGGCCGTGGAGGTCCTATGAGAGGTCGTGGTGGTAGATTTGGTGGTCGCAGTTCAGTGGTATGCCAAGTATGTGGCAAACCTGGCCATCATGCTTTAATCTGCTATCATTGATTTAATCCTTCATATTCTGTTGTACCTGCTCCTGCAAATCAGTATTCTGCTGTACCTGATCCTACGAATCCTCAACCCTATTCTTCAACTCCAACAACCTATACTCACACTTCTCAGCCCTATCATTCAACTCCACCAATTTACACTCCAAATTCTCCAAACACATCAAATTCTAATCCACATATCTCCAACTGGCCTCAGCAATCCTACAACCCTGCACCACTACAAACCTACAATCCTCATACACAACTATCAATCTCTCAGAATGCCTACAACCCATCACCCACTGTTGCCTGGGCCTCTGCAACTCCTTCCATTCTAGGACCACCTCCACAACCTCAAACCTGG